CACCTTCATCAGTATCTTTCTTCTGCTGAACACAAAAGATGATATTTTGAAGAATGATGGACCCCATTGACTTCCATAGTGTTTTTTTCCCCTACTATGGAAGTCAACGGGTGCCGTCAACTGGTTGATTACCGACATTCTTTAAAATATCTTCTTTTGTGTTCAACAGAAGAAAGAAACTCATACAGGTTTGGAACAACATGAGTGTGAGTAAATGATGACAAAATTAATTTTTGGGTGAACTATCCCTTTAAATCTGGACATAGGCTTAGTAAATAATAATAAAAATAAAGCAAAGTTTCATGACATTTTCAATCATTTCAACGTATGTAAAAGTGACCTGTTAAGCACTATATATTGTAATAATGCCTAGATATAAAGAAAATGTCCAATAAGACATTTCACACACTGCCTTGCAAGCAAGTTTTACTCTATAAAAGCGCTCACAAAGAGAATTTTCTAACCAATGATATTTAATAGTACAGCAAAGCTTGAAATATATATACCCCTAACTTATTTCCAGGACTTCTCAGGCCTGTACATCACTTCTATTTTACCATTCTGGCACCAGGTCTACAGATCCAAATATGAACAAGGCCTGCTTTTTGGTGACCATGTTAATGAAGGCCCAAATAAGTCAAATAGTTCACAGCAACTTCAAAGGCCTTTAAGTGATGAAAACGTTGGGAAAAGTGGCTAACGACCAAGACCATATTATAACCCGTTAAGCGCATCCAAAATTCAATATAAAACGCACCTCGAATGTTTTGGTCAAAAAAAATCCTTTCGGGGTACATTATGGTCGTTGAATCGCGCATGCGCACTGCCCATTCAAATAGATTTACTGTACTTCTCTCTTGAATCGGGGTGGAAATTTCCTCGAAGTGTTAGTTAAACGGGTTAGTTTCGGCGATACTCGCTCTCGAATGTTCTGGCACGAAGGTGCTTTGTGGGAAAAAAGAAAATACTTTAGGAACCGGGTCTGAGCACAATAAGCGTAAAGAATCCCCAAAACCACGAGTGCTTTTTGTGTAGTCATGGTAATTTAGACTGACGCTGGAGAACATTTAAGGAGGACGGATCCTGAACAACTCCCTCCTGTAATACTCTGACTGTGCTCTCCAACCACTCACATAACTATAACTACACCCAAGATCGTGCCGTCAGGCCAAAAGCCATATTTGAGAGTAATCCAGTCTTAAAATGGATGCCGTCGACAATTGAACAGGACCCAACATTCACCCCTGCTGAACTCCGCGCGAACACACACACACACACACACTGTGCATTTGACTCATTTCACACACAAGTGCGTCCAACGCAACTAATGAGGGATATATTATATCAGCCTGGATCATGGCAGTCGATCCCTGATCCAAACAAGAGGAGAAAGTGTGTGAGGAGCTGGAATTGTAAGTTAAACCCGAGAAAACATTCACAAGTGCTAAGAAAACTAATGTACGGTAGGCTCACCCAAAGTCATCGTCCATAGATTTAAAGAAAAACTTGTAGTTTGGTTTCTTGAGAGCATTTTTCAGGTCCAAAAGAGTGACCCTTTCGGCAGGGATGGGCAGTTTGACCAGGTATGGAGTTTCCTGGTCGTCGAGATGGTAGATAACTTTAGTCTCCCCCATTGCAGACCGCTGGGGAGAAGTAATCGGCGGTCATCCAGCGCAGGGGGTTCCCCTGATGCCCCTCCAGAATGGGCTTTTGCTCGTTTACACCCGCCAGTTGACTTTTTTTTGTTGCTAATCCCGTTCTTTCTCCTCCGGAGTTCCCAGGAATCTTCGATATCAGCGCAAATATTCCATGAGCTGACTGGTTTAAAGGGCGATTACTGATCCATACTCTTATTTCACTCTATCCCGCCTGTCGAGAACAGAGAATAATCCGTGAAATGTGTGATAAAGAAGCTTATTTTGGTCAGGAATGCCGAGGCTACTCGGAGAGCTTCCCTGTGCTCTCCTTACAGAGGGTTTTGTATTGCTTTCATTGACGCCGACTGCCCGGGGAAACGCGCTCCCCCTAGCGGAGAGGGGTGGTAGGTGTGAAAACAGTTACGTGGGGTCATTCTACTAAACAGATGCCATTTGGAGAGTGGGGCAAGTTGAGCCGCTTTTCTAAGTTGGCCTATTGGCAAGTAGAAATCAGAGGACGCCTACTTATGGATATCTAATATGAACTGGAATCACTTACATTCAGCCATAAAAACTTGACTTAAAAGAGTGGCACAACATGCCATGTGTTCGGTTAGGGGTAAACTGTGTCATATCATGATCGAGGTAAGTGTGAATGAAGCGTATATGAAATAAATAAAATGGGAACATAATGTGTGATTTTTACAAATAATAATTATGAATGCATTTTCTCAAGTCTTATTTTTACTGCATATGATTCAGTTTTCTTTAAAAATATCCACTAATACCGCAGACTCAGAGGGTTATAATTTCATTGTAGTGAAACATTTTTTACACTTTGGTTTTCTTAAGATAAAATGTTTATAAAATCGTTTACTGGACTGAAAGACATTTTTATTCCACATATCCGTCAAAGTTTTAGTGAAATGTAAAAAGTATAGGGAGATTTGTGGAGATAAAAGCTAGCATTTTGTCTTAATTCTCTCTTTTTTCACTAATAAAAATACTTTTAAAACGGGTAAAATCTACCATATCTGTTGATAAAAAGTTGTATCTCTTGATAAAACTAAACCTGTATTTCACATTAAAGTAGGTTAGATAAAATTAGATAAAATGCAACCACTTGACCTGGTTTATAATTGCTGTGGTTTGCAGGAATATTAAGATCACAGGGAGACGCTCAGTCATTTGTCACATGAAATGTTCATCAACTCCCAGAATGTCCTTTAAATGTCACTTTTTTTCAAATAATTCATGAAGTGTGTACCAATTATGCCGTGGTGTTAAATGTAGCAAGATTAAGCAAATTTAGACAGGTGTAAACTTCATATCGTACATGTTGTTGAATTGCCAATGAAATTGTATTGCTAAATATGAGCCATGAATTAATGAATTAATAAATTAATAATTTTCACCAAAATAGTAACAGTGTGGTGAAGTGTGTCAGATGCTTTAGGTTTAACGCTGTCAGTGGATCAACTAATATCGATTGAAAAGGGGAAATATTTCATATTTCTCTGAAACCTTGATGGTTATAATTTGGAATAATGATCCCTTAGTTTGTTCACTAAAAGATTGTGTAAACGTTTATCAAAGGATTTAACTGTCTCTAATGGGACATTCTTTATGACAGTTTTCAACTACATTTAAATATTCTGAATTATACATTTTCCTGACTGATTTATGGATATGTTAGTAAATCGGAGTCTAGTCTTGGTGTACACAAATCAAATGTTTTTATAACAAATGCAAATCATTCTGGTGTTAAATAACACAAATAATCCCAAATAATTCCCCCCTTTTTGAAAAGTCATTTCTATGACTCTGCAGACATCATGCTTTATTTTTACTAATTTCTCTGCCCTAGAGGACAACATTGGTAAAAAACTTAGGGGCTATTTAAACACTGCTTTCAACTAAAAACTTGAAAAAACTAACATGTTGAAATCGCTAATTAAAAAGAGAAAGGTTTGGGCTATTTGCTTTTAATGAGGTGTACCACAAAATATTAAAACGTATTAAAAGACCTCAAATCACCCACATACAAACAACAAAATTTTAAGCAGGTTTTATTTATCGAAAGTACACTACATTGCCAAAAGTGTTGGGAAGTCTGCCTTTACACGCACATGAACTTTAATGCCATACCATTTGTAATCTGTAGGGTGTAACCCTCATGTACTGTTCGATTTCTGTGCACAGCCTGTATGGTGTGGGTCAAATTGACCCTAATTGGATTCAATACAATTTTCCAAAAACCACACAATGAAAAACAGAATCAGGTACAAAAATTAAACTTTTAATGTGAACATATCAAACATTACAACTTGTATCTGAACTTGTATCATGAAAATGTTTTTAAACACTCAAGTTTTATTTTGAAAAAATACAGCACTGACTTTTTTGCATACTCATTTTTTCCCCAACTTTTTTTTTCCATTTATGCTTAAAACATAGTTCTGAACTATTGAATATTTCTGTATAATGATATTGTTTACTTTTGCCAAGTTATCTCTTCTGTCGACTCATTTCATAAATTCAAGAAATTACTTGACAAGATGAGCACACAGCAAGTGTGCTTTTTGCATATATGCATATGAATTTCAAACACAAAGCTGCTTGCTCCCTGATCAACTAATCACAATGAAAGTATAACCCATAACTTAATCTGATTGAACTTCAGGCATCACTAAAGACAGGCATGACTAACCACCTAGACAGGAGGGCATGTACTGTTGCTTTTGAATAGCGGTCTGTGTGGGCAAAACTGACCCACAAACAGCAAGAACGTATACAAATTCTGTATGCACATTTCACAACACATAGGCGTGTTAAAACTTTGCATGCATGTTCATAAATGAGAAAAAGACAATGTCAAGAAAAACAACAGGTTTAATAGCATTTCAGATAGACTGAAATAAGAAATGATAGCTCATTTTCCCCATCTGTAGCTGACAAAATATTTTTCTGTATTGAAATAAGTGGGGAAAAGCTACTTTTTTTTTTTACTTCATGGGGTAGTAAAAAACAAAGTAACATAATACAACCAAGAAATGCTATTTTGGGTCTATACAGTTGCCTTAGAACATTCAAATATGAGTCAAATTGACCCGCGAACATAACAGTAATTTACTGTATATATGTCAAAACACATCAGTGTTGAAACTTTGCATGCATGAGACTTTTGCGCGCCTCAGCATGCGCTGACCCCGCTCTGATTTTACGTGAGAGCGACCCATTCTTTCACAGATGTTTGTAGAACCAATCTTCGTGCCTAGGTGCGTGATTTTATACAACTGTGGCCATGGAAGTGATTGGAAAACCTGAATTCAATGATTTAGAGGAGCAATATAGTGCATGTAGTGCAGAATACAGCATCTGGAACAGAACCAAAATAGATATTAGAATCAGAGACAATTAAACCACAGAAACACATCAAAACAAAGCATGAACACAAATGCTGCAGCACGCATAGCTGTAGTTCTATAGAACAGCAGTCAACTTTAAAGAAATAACATTTGCACAGTGCCTTTTACCATACAAATCATTACAAAGCAGTAATATATGAAATGGCAAAAGCTTGTAATTTTGAGTCATAGTTAAACTCACCTCACACACTAGTCCTTGAATGCTGGATAATTTACCTCCACTAGAAAGGAGAATGTAGACCCTTTATAATAATCAGGATTGAAATGATTAGCATTGCGCTTTGCATTTATGAAAAGAGACTTATGAATTATACATGATCAGTGTATTAGCAATGTAAATGTCCATAAAATGAAACTCCGAAAGGCATAGATGTAAACGCCTTTCAGCAGCCATCTTGTGAGTTAATGTCTGCCCTATTTGACACCGCATTCATCTGACCGGCAATGAACAGGTAACACTTTAAGGCATGATTTTCTTTACTCAGACATATTTAAAGTTTAAAGCTCCATACCAGGTTTCATGCAACCCTGCTCATGTTGCTGTAGCAGCCTTTTACCGCATTGGCTGTTCACCTGAAATAATAGAATATGACTGTCAAAGCATGAACACAGAAGACTAGATCATGAATATAGCTCATTGAGAACATTGTTCTTGTCATAGCACAAGCAAGAGGAACATGTGTCCTCTCATTAATTTGGCTATTTCAAGGTTTATTGTGCGCCTTAGTAGACACCACATTCATGAATGTGAAAATGAATGGGCAACACAAAGGCGAGACTCTTCAAACAGCATAGAGAGATATACAAGCTTGAAGGGATAGTTCACCCAAACATTTAAATTCTGTCATTATTTACTAACCTCAATGTTTTTCTAAACCTGTAAGAGTTTTTTTTTTTTTTTCAATAAAAATAAGGTTCAATAGTATTTTTCTTTTTCCACACTATTGAAAGTCAATAGGGCCCATTAACCTTCTTCAAAATATCTTTTATGTTTAGCAGAAGAAAGAAATTCATACAGGTTTGGAACAACCGTCTAAATGACAGAATTTTCATTTTTGGGTGAACTATATACCTTTAAATTTTACTTTTTTTTATACAGTAAATATTTAAAATCTGCTGCAATTGAACTACTCACATGGAGCAATCTAAAATTCTATTTTACATCAAATGTAGGCTAAATCCACACCTGGAATTCAAATGCAGTTGCTCCTGGCCCTCATGGTGTCAACATGTGACCGTTTTCCACGTGTTTCAACGTAATGCTGAAAAAAGACACAAAGGACAAAAAAATAAGTATAATTGCATAAACGACCACAATGAAACAACGAGGGCAAAAAGAATCACAATCCAATGACGAGCTACATATTTTAATTGAATGGTTGCAACTGGTCAATATCCACCGAGAAACCCTTTTTAAATATAACAACAGACAGATTTGTTCCCACATCTCAACTGAGAAGCAACTAAAATAAACGGAATATTTGAAGAACGACGACTGTGCGACAATCAACAGGCTATTCCACGTAAGAAAACCTCGTTTTTTATAATCGTACTACTGAAGTAAACATTTACTATAAAACCTGTCCGTATACAAATAACATCTACCACTTACCCACATGATCCATCCAATTTGCAACGAAACAGCCACTCGAAGAGAGCATGATGACACCGTCTTCTTCACCATAGACAGTAAAAGAGGGTTTCTCTTGATCATCTCCACGTGGACACTCACTCAACCAGAAAAGACCTTCGGAATCGGAAGGAAGGAAGGACCCAGTGTAGGCGACTATGAAAGTGCCTGAGTGAAATTACTTAAAGGGGTGGTTGATTGCGATTTCACTTTTTTCATTTTAAATAGTGTGTAATGTTGCTGTTGGTGCATGAACAAACAGTATCTGCAAAGTTGCAGCGCTGAAAGTTCAATGTAAGCAGAGATATCGTCTTTTAAAAATCAGGAAGTGTAAATGCCTACAAAAACGACTCGATTGGGACTACTGCTGGGTTTTAGACGTCACTAACCCATACATTTGCATCAACCCTCCCTCCGGAGTACGCAAAAAAGTGCATGGCCATATTTCTGCGGCTTTGCCGAGGGGAGAGCTAGCCATGCCGTCGAAAGTGTGTTATTTTCATCCAGCTGTTAGGTCTTCTGTGTTCGGGCTTCCTACGGACGCTGTAGTTCGTCAACAATGGCTACAATTTATGTTTGATAATGTTTCTGACAATTACAATCGTAATTTAGCTCTTTGTGCGGCACATTTCACTGAAGACAGCTTCCAGAATCTCCACCAATTCAATGCCGGATTCCACAAGAAACTGTTGCTAAAACCTGAAGCTGTTCCAACGTTAAAACCAGATGCAGCAGTTGTTGGGCCACAACCTGTAAGAAAGATTTAAAAAATGTACATGTATTTGTATAATTTTAGACGTAATGGTTTATTTTTATCAAGGACGTAAACAAATGCAGGTGTTGTGCCGAATTTCGACTCCCTGCCAGAATCTGACTCCCCCTCGCGTGCACGCGCAATGACGTCACCACACTAGTCGCCGAATTTCGACTCCCTGCCAGAATCTAACTCCCCCTCGCTTGCACGCGCAATGACGTCGGTGCGACTGTTTTATTTTTCGTCTGTTTGTGTTTCTTAAAGTTTGGTGTCTTTTTTTTTTTTACAGGTGTTTATTAATAAATATAATAATTATCAGTGTTTTCCAGAAAGCGTTGCAAAAACCGATCACTGGCATACAGGATGTTTAAGTGCACTATACTTACCAAGTCAAATATGAAATGTTAATATTTAACATTTATTCCCATTTCCCATTGTGCACTGTTTACTACTATAGACAGTCCAATAATACCATGTGCAATAAGTTCTACTTTATTCTGCACATAGATTATTCTATACTCTGCCAGTAGGCCTACATTTTATTTAAATCCAACCCCAGAATTATTTTCGTGTCCAAAGCACAGGTGTAAGCAAATTATATAAATCATACTTCCCTAATTTTTCAGGTTTGCAAAGTCAAAGACACATGAAACTCATGCTGGTTACACCTCTTACTATGGATGGTAAAATAATTTCTGTGTTTTACATTTGATATTGTATTGTGATAGGCACTTTTAGTTAATTCTGGCTGATATTTGCCAGTATAACTGGGTGGCTAGACATTTACCTACAACTTTAAATGTATTTTGATGGTGCACACTTTCTGTTTTCAGGATGATTAACTGCATTTCGGTGATAAAAAAAAAAACAGAAATACATGTAAAAACGCCTATAACTGTGAAGTCATTCAGGAATGTTTTTATTATTATTTGCTCAATGAAAATGTCATTTCATTGCCTTCACCGTTGGTTCCCTTTTATGTACATGTGTCACAGTAAAATAATAATTTTTATTGTATGTGCAAAATTGTTGTCTTTTGAATTGTGGTCTCCAATGAGCTGATCAAAAACGCATAAGTTCGAGAATAATAACTTAAATAGAATTACAAACTAAACAATTAAAAAAAAGAGAAACTACTACAACACTTGAAAATAAATACATTTATTTCATACAAGCTGGACACAAGTAGTTGGTAACTTCCATCGATGTTTTTGCGCAGTCACAGTGGTACCACCGAGGGCACACATCACAGCCAATCTTAGGGACAAAGTGAATATTAGTATGCACCACAGTTATCTTTTTACATCCATTATGATGAAAAAATAAATATGGTGTACTTAAAGACTACTCTTTTCAACAACAAAAAAAGGATCAAATAAAAAGTACAGTTAGAGTACCCACCCAGTCAGGACTTTCTTCCTCCCCACAGAGAAAGCACAAATCTTTTAGATCATCTATGACAATGCCAGGGGAGAAGAGCCAATATAAGACACAAGGCCAAACCTCACAATTACTTTAAACAGGCTCCTGAATAGACTACTTTAAATAGACAGTCTGAATATTTGGATTTTTTGGCAAGGGGATAGTATTCCACACTTACCCGTGTTTTGTAGGAGGCAAGTAGCTATGGCCAATCTGATGGAATTCACACTTGTTTTGCTTGTTGAAAACAGAACTGGCTTTTTGTCCAGCATACATTCAGCAAACTAAAAATAAACAATTAGAACAATTTCATTGTAATAAAGACAAACAGATGTGTTGGTATCAAAGATTGCAGCCAATAAACTGACATCAATGAAGAAAGAACACTATGTAAATCTTACTGTGTAACTGTCAGTGAGTGGTGAATGTGGTCAGCATATTAACACTGGAGTTTGAACTGATTTTTATGCTATTCATTAGGGACTACTGTCTTTTTAATCAGTACTCTTAGCCAATTCCATAATTCTTACTTTTAGGACAAAGGCCCCACAGGAACTGCTGTCCTTTTGGTGTGGGTGTGGCAGTGTGTCACATGCCCACGTGGACACATGTATGCCTTTTTGATTCATGAATGACCTGTAATCAATAATAATAATAAAAAGCTCAGAACAGCACAATTTTTTTCCATTCAACATTCATTGATAATTTGCCCCATCATAGGACTTGTTTAAAAGCTGTAATTACCTTGTCACTTCTTGGCATCTTTTAAGGTCAGGTTGCCTCTCCCCAAGAGGATCCAAATACAGAACCTGTGCTTTGGACACGAAAATAATTCTGGGGTTTGATTTAAATAAAATGTACTGGCAGAGTATAGAATAATCTATGTGCAGAATAAAGTAGAACTTATGTGCAGAATAAAGTAGAACTTATTGCACATGGTATTATTGGACTGTCTAGTAAACAGTGCACAATGGGAAATGGGAATAAATGTTAAATATTAACATTTCATATTTGACTTGGTAAGTATAGTGCACTCAAACATCCTGTATGCCAGTGATCGGTTTTTGCAACGCTTTCTGGAAAACACTGATAATAATTATATTTATTAATAAACACCTGTAAAAAAAAAAAAGACACTAAACTTTAAGTAACACAAACAGAAGAAAAATAAAACAGTCGCACCGACGTCATTGCGCGTGCAAGCGAGGGGGAGTTAGATTCTGGCAGGGAGTCGAAATTCGGCGACTAGTGTGGTGACGTCATTGCGCGTGCACGCGAGGGGGAGTCAGATTCTGGCAGGGAGTCGAAATTCGGCATAACACCGGCACTGGCTTTATAGTCACTTGGTTATGCTATTTCGTGTTTCTATGGCAAACGCCTACAAACATTTTGAACCTGAATTTGTAGTCATATAGATTTTGTAAATGTATTTGCCATGTATAGATACTTTATGACGTAATTTTTCGATTTGATCACGAACGTGATCAATGTCAACAGTGTTTGTTTATAGTAGCCAGTTATATCGATGCTATTTTGTGTGTAAGACAAAGGTGTATAAAGTTAAACAATTATATGTATTCGCAACAGCAAACTTCAGCTGCTGTTATCTGTATGGTATGTTTATAGGTTTTATGTATTGTTTAGCCATACTTATTACTGTTATAAATATAAATAGCAAAATTAACTATAAATTATAATTAATTACACATTGTCTTTTGTTACAGTCTACATATCAGCAAGGTCCAAGCACCCAAGAGTTTCTTAATATATCTACAAGTGTTGAAGTTGGATGTCAGACAGACCCTATGAAGTCAGAAAGTGTGGCCACAGAGATATCGCCAAACATGCGATCAGTGGCCACACAACTTTCTACTGGCACAATGAGGGTTTTTCACGCAAAGAGCAGAGGTATGAAGTACACACTATGTGTTAATGTATTATTTTATCATAGTCATTATGACAATATTTTAATTTATTATAAGCTGCTGTGATTTATTGCAACCTTGAAAATTGTCTCCATGTACAATTCATTTGTAATAGCATGACATGTGGTTTACACTATTTTGGGTTTTGTCACTTGTAGGAATTCAGGCAACAGTTTCTACTCAAAATATTGGTACAGAAACAACTGTCATGTTGCAAGATATGCATCTGTCTTTGACACCAATAAAAGGCTCGATGTTCAGACCAATAAAGAGACCTCGTCTGGTATTGGAGGAGGAGGAGGAGGAGGAGGAGGAGGAGGAAAAGGATGACACTGAATCACAAGTACAAGTGGAACCACAAGACTCGACATATAACCCAGAGAGTACTGCCACTGAGGAATCTGAATTGTTGTAAGTTATAAAAACAACAGTTTTATATTAGTCATACATTTAACAGTTTTTTAGAATAAGTAATGTTAATTCTTTCTTTATATATATATATATTTTTTTAGGATAGATCCACAGACTAACTCGGGTGAAAAAAAATACATTGTTTTTGAAAGTTGCCTAAGAGAGCTATTTGGGTCCTGTCCAATTTGTAAGACAAAATGTAAAGACCAAAGCAGACAAATGGGGACTTTTGTGGCATTCACTCAGCAGTGTGAGAAGTGCCAGTACAACAGACAGTGGCAGAGCCAGCCTATAGTAGGAAGTACACCGGTTGGTAACCTGTTACTGTCTGCTGCAACTTATTTTACCGGTGGCTCCTTTGTTCAACTGCAGAAGGTATCTAAAACCATAATAAAAGTTAATTTATAGTAAATAAACTGTGTTACATCAGTTAGTATGCAAATCCATGTTTTGGTATTTGTTCTTTAATAGATTTTTAAGGCGATGAACCTCCAGATGACAACATATAGCACTTTCAGGAAACATGCCAGGAATTTCATTGAACCAACCATCATACATAAGTGGAACAGAGATCAACTACATATTATTGCACAGCTGCAACAGCAGGGAAAGGTTCCATTAGCTGGAGATATGCGTGCTGACACACCAGGTATGCTTATAACAATATTAATATGTAGTAAGTTTATCTAGAAAGCATTGTAGTTGTCCAAAAAAAAAAAAAATGTGTTAGTGGTATCAGTTATGGTCTACTTTGGATAATGTGTGCCATAGGACACTCGGCAAAATTCGGTAGTTACACTTTGATGCATGTGGAAACCAACAAAATTCTGGACCTTCAACTAATTCAGGTTAGTGAGTACTACATATCTATAATAATGTTGTAAATTTCTGCCATCTGTTACTGTTAACATTTACATATTTTGAATATTATATTCCTCTAGAGCAACGAGGTGGGAGGCAGTTACCACATGGAAAAGGAGGGATTAAAGCGTTGCCTGGAAAAACTCGAGTCTAATGGTTTAGCTGTTGACTACCTAATAACCGATAGACATCCACAGATTCAGAAGTATCTGAGAGAACGCAGTATCACTCAGTTTTATGACGTTTGGCACTTTCAGAAAGGTAAATATTCTTTTTTTTTTATTTAATTAATGATAAACATGATTACAGGGTTGTAAATGTAAATTTAGCTTGACTTTTGATTATGTAAAAGTAATGATTTTACAACTGGTGTATGTATTGGTATAGGGCTGTCAAAGAAATTAGACAAACTGTCACAGAACAAGGACTGCAAGTTGCTGAAGACATGGTTGCGCAGCATAAATAATCACATATATTGGAGTGCGACTTCCTCTGTGTCTGGCCCAGAAAAGCTGGCTAAGTGGACCTCCCTGCTGAACCACATTCAAAATGTGCATGTTCACGAAAAACCCCTGTACCCTAAGTGTCAACACCCGGACAGAGTTTCCAGGGATCAAAAGAAATGGTTCCAATCAGGTATGACTACATAAAAAATATATCTAAAGATTTACAGGTCATTTTTATAGCTTCATGTATGTGCCGCTACAGGATCAGTGGAACTCCACAAGTTGGGAAAGGTACTATACAACAAGAGAGTACTGAAGGGCGTAGAAAAACTCAGTCACCACTTCCAAACATCGTCACTTGAGGCATTTCACAGCCTTATTCTGCGTTTCGCCCCAAAGAACGTGGTTTTCCCTTTCATAGGGATGTTGTGCAGGTAAAAGGCATAATGTCATATTTAGCAATATATATAAAAAAAATTATAACAAAAAAATCTTACTGTCTAAAATATTCCATATTTGATGTGTTCTCCGTTCAAAGGTTGTATCTCGCAGCCATGCACTACAATGAAAATTCTGACCGTCAACAGGCAACAACAACTGCTGGACAGGCTGTGTTCAAATTCATTTTTCCTAAATTCAAAAAGGGGGAATGCACAGCAAAGCCAGTGAAAATCGACCCAACATACAGTGAGATGAACCAATATTTTTTTTTATTTACAAAAATTTAAAGCTAATAAATAACTGTAAAAAAAAAAAAAGAGGAAATAAATATTACAAAACATTACACATGAAAATTGCACAGCAAAGGTTGATTGTTTATCATTAGTTATATAAAACAATAAAGTGACTTTAGGTTTTCATCTCTTCTTACAGACTATGTTGATGAGCTTATCAGTCTGCTGGTCAATAAAGTCTTTCTGGACCCTACACCATACACTGAAGAGCTGCATGCAATCCCCATTCCCCCACCTCTGTCTTCACAGTATGAAAAACCATCAAAGGAAGAGTTGATTGCTCGCCATGTGTCCCGCTTCAGTCAAGGGGGGGGCGGAATCCAACATTCTGGCCAGTTGGATCTGGAAACTGCTGGCGGATCCGGTCAACAACATATGACGGAATGACAACCCTCATATCTCGTCCTAGGTAGCCCCAGCACCAGCTGACAAAGCTACGGTAGCCCAGATAACGAAAACGCCTATGGCAGGAAATCACAATGTTGTGTGTATGAAACATTTGATTTTACAGGAAAATGTTACATGTCGTTTGAAAATATTGATTTTATAAATACATTGAAACAGAAAGATAATTATTTGTGAATATCTTACATTTCTTTTATTCGTTATTTATGTTTGCTATGTAACTGTTTTTACAACAATTATTTCACTAATCAAACTTTTTGTACAATAAATAAAAACTTACTCTTTTTCAGTTCTGCGTCTCACTGCTCCATAGTCAGCTCTATAAATATTATGTATATTTTGTAAAGTGAATGTATTTAAGCAATTTGGTTCAAAACCTGGATGCAGAACCATGCATGCAGGTGGGTCCGGAATCTGCATCATCCTATGCACAACCTATAAAGAATTATTATAAGTAATTCCTGTGCAATGATCTTCCCTTCTTCTTTTTACATAATTCTATTACAGCTTATGATAAAAGGGCAACCCAAAGCTATAAAATATATAGACATATTTTCACAATACCTTTTGTATTTTTTTGCAACAGATGTTTTCACGTTCTGTTGGCATTTTAACACAGTTGCCACATGTACACCTAAAGAAAACGATACACAGAGTAAACTAAGAATTAGATTTCTAACTATATGATTAAGAAAGGGATAGTTCACCCGAAATGAAACCGTACCCTCATGTCGCACTGCATAAAATAATACATTTTGAGAAATGTATGTTTTGGTTGTGAAAAAGTCATACAGGTGGAACGACAAGAGGAGTAAATTATGACATAATTTAAAAATTTCCTTTAAGTAAAAATGGAAAAGCATTGTATAAAGTTACCAAGAAAATCTAGTACCTTGGTGTACTGGGTTTGCTGAGAGTTGAGATAGGTCCAAACCCTGCTTTAGGTCAAAGAGAATAAGAGAAACATAAATTATATCAAGTATGTGCAAGCAAAGTATTTATTTAACAAAATGAACGCGTTATGCATTTGTAATAATAATAACACTGCATAGCAAATCTTCAAACTTGCGGTGACGATGGTGGGACTTTTATTTTAAAATTATCATGATTTTTGCTGCCATCTTGGAGCTGAATAAAGTTGATCCCAGTCTCTTTTGTGGCTTCTGTCAAATCGGAAGGTCTGAGATCACTAAATAGACATTTAAACCGACACTTCCGACTCCTGTCAGACTTCGACCTTAGGAAACACATTAACCTAAACCTTCAGGCACCCGTTTAACACCACCTGAGCTCATAACGACATTAAAGCACAAGGGTAAGCAGCTAATGCGTCTTCATGTCTGTATATGTGTGTGCCCTAAAGATAGTCAGAAGGACCAGCTAGTGTTTCGAGCTGCTTGACATACGTGTCGTGTCGTCTCACCAGCTCAAGGCATGGTATTTATCTATTATATTATATATATTATTATCTATTATATCTAAGTTAGCTCTCTATTGAAATAGTTAAACTGCTGTCACTTTTAGAGACACTCCCACTGTTAATTCACCCTGTATCATAGACCCACCTCCCATATTTTGTTATATTAATGTCAGAGCTCCTAAACTTGAAATCCAGAAACTTGCTACTTTTTATTTGGTAGAAATGTGGAGCATTATTATGGTTGCCCTTGTCTCTGAATTGATTACTAATGTTACACCTTCAGTAAATAGTATACGCATCCTTGTTCAGCTGGGATTGTACAGCTCAGATGAGGAATCATTCAGACTCTGTGCTCTTAGATAAGAGACTAAAATAGAGGGATTTTGTCTGTATTATAGCCTACTGGACTGTCTACATCTCCTTGTCCTCCTAAATGCAAGTTTGGGCTTTAAAAAATGATCTTGCCTTAGTTTAGTTTAGTTTGTTTATCAGTGCCAGATCTCTAAGCAGTGTCATATATATATATATATATATATACATAAGCCTATATAGTTGATCTATCAGTTATGAGTGTGCTACAGTGGATGTAATGTTGTGTCCGGGTCACATTCCTCTCCTTTGCTTCATTCACTCATTCATTCACCCAGATAAGACTCAAGGCTCTGTGTTTAGATAAAGGAATGATTGGAATGAGGAAGGATTCACCCATGGTTTCCATAGCCTCTTTCTGGACATAACAAACAAGTTGCTGATGACCCTTTTTTTACTTGTTTTAATATAATATATTGAATAATAGCCTATAAAAAAATAATTCAAATCATATTATGATTTTTCCCACTCATGATGTAATTATGTGAAGTTTTGACTTGCAGTTTTGACTGCACATGATAAAACCATTATCATATTATCAACCAATATTAATTTCTGATATTTTTTTTTCTGGTACAGTTTTGGATTTTCATGAAGAAATATCTTATATCAGCTTAAAATCAAAAGAAAAATGTATAAAGATATATTTTGCGTACATTTTTTAAAGTTGGCTTGAAATTAAAATTCACTAGTTTCTACATGCATTTTTATTGACCTTATTGTTAACAATTAATCCATGCATATGTTCAATTTCTTCTTCTTTTTTGGACCTTGTAATTCTTAATAAAAAATGTCATAAATCTTCAGATTAAACAACAGAATTCTCTCTGGTGATCAGGATTGCCACGTCTGCGTAACAAAACCAGCCCAATGGCCAATTAAAAGTAGCCCAGTGACCATGTCGCAAATATCAAAATTCAAAATATGCAATTTCCGTACCTATTTTACAGTCACTTTTAGGCAAATTGAAAACCACTATATCATAGTGATCATAAACACAGCTCAAAAGCTCCCTAAATATGGCCCTCCTTCACAAAACATCCAGCCCAGTTTTATCATTGGTAGAATATAAAATATTTCAAAGTGGTGCTGTCATGGTTCCTCGATTAAATTCAAATACTCCATTTTAAAAAATCCTCTGGCAATTTAAAAGTGTCGATTAACTGGCAAAATACCAGAAGTGGTGCACTATGGACCTATTACCTAGTAGACCGAAGGCTGCGTCATAGCCTATATTAAAACCATTTAAAAAATGGTTTAAAATTGTGAAATCTCAAAGGCTGTGATTCAATTAAATAAATATGTGGGTTTCAGAGTCAAGCCTGACGCTTTAATGATTTACAGGTTACATGTTTCTTCCAGCGGCCCTGTTCACAGTAAATGCTGATCCACACAAACTCAGTTTGTTTGGGTTTCCAATAGTGTGTATTTGGAACGCATATAAATTCTGACGCCTTTTGTATTTCATAGCGAAGAAGTGCTGCACTGTTATCATTTATAGTGATGTGACGTGAAGGCCAAGTATGGGAACCCATATTCTGAAGTAGTGACTGAGTAGTGAACACAGCACACACACACCCGGAGCAGTGGGCAGCCATTTACTGCGGCGCCCATGGAGCGATTGTGGGTTAGGTGCCTGCCTTGCTCAAGGGCACCTCAGTCGTGGGTATTGCGGGTGAAAGAGAGAGTTGTTCATTCACTCCCCCACCTACATTTTCCTGCCGGTATTGAGAATCGAACCGTTGGGTTACAAGTCTGACTCTCAGGGGAAAAGTACTGCACCAAAAAAATCTCATTGCCATTAATGTGTTTCAGTTATGACAAAAAAACATTCTTCCAGTGCACAGTCATTTTATTTTAAGTCTAAATAAAATGTAAATGCTGACAAATATTACAAATTTTAAAATTAAAACAAAAAGAACAGAGCAATACTGTCATTATGTAAAAATATTTCAAGTTTTCTTATATAGTACAATACTAAGAGTGGTGGTAGATCCACTCAGGAAATGATTTACTTTTAAAATAGCCTAGGCTTTATTTTCTTCGTACTGTATATCATTTCACATTTCATCTAAAAATACTGGACTAGGACATGTTCTTGGCAGGTTTAATTTGATTCACCCCTTTAGCCTTTCCTGTGAAGATCAGAAAGACATCTGGACATTTATCTTCAACATGGCCGAATAGTTTGCACCACAGCCAACTTTCCTGACACATATTTAATCGTTCCCGGAGCTCTGTGTTATGAACTTCTCTTTCCAAACATCTGGGCTGGGGTTATACTGCTATTGAGTTCTGCATTTTTCTCGTGTCACGAGGAACTTCCCAGATTGAATACAACTAAATGCCTTAGAATTGTTATTATCATTACTGTAGTTTTCTCCATAACATTTCATAGAGCCTGAATGGAGGCCCACGGTTCAGCACGATTGTCCAGGAAGAGAAAGAGAGACGGTTCAAATGGAGAGGCAGAGGAGGGCGAGAAACCCCTGAAGTTAAAACGATGCACAGTGGTGAGTGAGATAACGGTGTAAGCGTGTGTGTGCAGATGAGAGATGGTATTTGAGACCAAAGGCTGTGGTGCTTCTTGCCCCTCAGGGTCTGAAATACCCGGCTCCGTATGCAGATCAGCTCGAGTCAATGGAAGAAAAGCCATATCAGCGCGTCACCATGGAGGAAGCTCGCAGAGGCACTCCACGTAAGATATTTGCCCTCTGTAATGAACTCCTCCCACACACACACACACACACACACACACACACACACACACACACACACACACAGTCAGATATACACGTGTCAGGTGTTCTTTCCATTCACTGTATGACTGTATTTAGGCTGATTCATTAGCCATTATATACACGATTATGGCCAGAAATGTTTTTCATCATTTCAACATTGAAACTAAAGCATATTTTGGTATCAACACTTGTATTTCTTTAACAAAAACAGAAAAGCTATTAAAAAAAAAAAACATATTACAGATTCACTTTGACAATATTATTGGGCACCCTTGATTTCATATTTGCTACTACAACGTTTAGACGACATAACTGTAATTAAGTGACTTTTCTTCTTCCATATGTTGCTTTCAGACATAGCTATTGTTATTCAGTAGGATACACATCTGGACCTGTTACTGGGTTTTGTCAACAATTCCAGGTTTTTGTCATGCATCATTGTTGTTTCCAGGGTTCTTGTCCTTTTGGAAGGACAATAACCTTGACTGAGGCACATCATTCTGACACTGGGTCAAACAAACAACCCAAACCAAACCAAAGAAATTAATCATGCATTATTATTGCAGATCTATGCTGCTTTTTAAAAAAGTTTACAAAAATATGCCAATATTGGCCAGTAACCAATTTGATGCCAATATTAAGTGGATCCCTAAAAGAAATCCAAATGTGGATACCAAAAGATATTTTAAATTCAACTTTTTGCAAGAGATGTTGCATTCGTTTACAAAAAATGTCTATACTTTAAAATACACTACAGTTCAAAAGATGTTTTTGAAAATGTCTCTTGTGCCCACCAAACTGCATTTATGTGGTAAAAAAAAAAAAAAAATCCGGAAAACCAGTAATATTATGAACTATAAAAATAGCTGTTATAACTTATTCCTGTGATGCAAAGCTGAATTTTCAGCATCATTACTTCAGTCTTCAGTGTCACATGATCCTTCAGAAATCATTCTGATAGGATGAGTTGGTGCTCAAAAAACATTTCTTCTTATTATCAATGGTGAAACAGTTTTTTAATTTGTGTAAACCCTGAACCGTTTTTTTTTTTTGTGTGATACTTAAATAAATAGAAATTTTGTGTAACATTATACATTTATTTACTTAAAAAAAACGTTCTCTTAAAAATGTTTTGAACGTACTGTAGTGTGTATTTTTTTAAAATTTAGTAAAATTCTAAAGCACAATCTTCTTCTCATGTAACCATTAGACTACTGACATGTAAGGTCAGGTGTGTCTAAATTAAGTAGTTCCCTTGATACCATGAAAGCTGATGTTCTTCTTTTTGTTTTTAGCCGACAGGCCTGTGCGTGTGTATGCTGATGGCATCTTCGACATGTTCCACTCAGGACATGCACGTGCTCTCATGCAGGCTAAATGCCTTTTTCCAAACACTCACCTTATTGTAGGTGGTGAGTATTCCTGGGATTCGGTATTTGGAGTGTTTATCATTCTGTTCATTTAGCACAGAGTCCGTCTTAATGTCAGTGCTGTATTTAGCGCCTCTCTTACCTCTCTGCAGTGTGTAGTGATGACCTCACACACGAGTTAAAGGGCTTCACCGTCATGAATGAGGATGAACGCTATGACGCGATTAGTCACTGTCGCTATGTGGACGAGGTGGTCCGGAATGCTCCGTGGACTCTCACGCCCGAGTTCCTCACCAAGCATCGGGTAAGACGAGAGAGAACTGAGCACTTCCATATGTTCCGTAGTGTTGTGTTGGAGGATGAAAGTAAAATGGTAACCAAGCGGTGAACCACTTATTTGTTCCCTTTTTTTAATTAAAGTCTGTGTCTTTTGATACCTCAGATTGACTTTGTGGCCCATGATGATATCCCATATTCCTCAGCTGACAGTGATGATGTTTACAAGCACATCAAAGAAGCAGGTAATTATAACAGCTTCGGAAACTGCTATGGAAGCTTGTTTCTGCAACTGAAAAATAAAAAATAAAGGTAATTGCAACTTTCTATCTCACAATTCTGACTTTTTTCTCACAATTTCTAGTTTACATCTTGCAATTCTGATTTTTTTTCTCAGAATTGCGTGATTTATAAACTGTCAGTTGCGGGGAAAAAGTCAGAATGGCTCAATTGCGAGTTTACAAATGGCAATTCTGACTTTTTTCTTAGAATTTTGCGATATAAACTCGCAATTGAAATGGGGAAAAAAGTTGCAATTATGTTTTACTTGTGTTTTTATTTACTTGTTTTAATTATGTTTTTTTTCTTTTCTTTTTTTTCATGGTGGGATCAAGCTACCATACCTTTATGTGTTTTGATTTAGAAATCAATCTATACGTTTAAAATTTCAGAGTATGAATTATAACAATATAGAACTTACCAATTAAATATGAGGCCATTTATCTTCTATCCAAAGCAACTTACAATAGTATTTTTATCTTTCAAATAGTTTATTTATTATTTTGGGCTTCCACAGGAATGTTTGCACCAACCCAACGAACAGAGGGTATTTCCACTTCTGACATCATCACACGCATCGTTCGAGATTATGACGTGTACGTCAGACGGAATCTACAACGCGGCTACACCGCGAAAGAGCTTAACGTCAGCTTCATCAATGTGAGCGCTGCGCTCCTCTCATCATATGTGTTTGTTTAGTCGAGCTTAATCTCAAGATCGAGAGACTAAATTTGCTTAGTCAATCTACACTACAGCTTCCTGCTCAGTTTTTTTTTTCTCCATACAATGGAAGTCAATGGGGTCCAATGTTATTTGGACCACGGCCTTCTTAAATATATTTTCTTATATCTTTGTGTTTGAAAGAATAATGAATGAATAAAGATAAGAAAGAATAAATGAAGATAGAATAAATGATGACAGAAATACAATTTTTGGGGGAACTATCCATTTAAAGCAGTGACTCTTGACCTTTCTCTCAACTCTCAACTTTTTATTTACAGAAACTAGGAGTGACAATATATTCAAATAAGAAATAAGAAAAAAAATTAAGAAATTGTAAATAATTCTATTCCATAATTCGAATTGTGCGCCATTTCCGACACTCAGGAAAAGAAGTACAACCTTCAGGAGCGTGTGGACAAGGTGAAGAAGAAAGTGAAGGACGTGGAGGAGAAGAGTAAAGAGTTTGTGCAGAAGGTGGAGGAGAAAAGCATCGACCTGATCCAGAAATGGGAAGAGAAGTCCCGCGAGTTCATCGGCAACTTCCTACAGATGTTTGGACCGGAGGGAGCGTTGGTGAGTATCTCTTTAAATATAGTCTCCCAAAACTTCTAAGTCAGCATCCACTCCTCATTTCTGAGTTGGAACGCTCTACATGGGCTGCAAGCGACTCAAAATACCACTACTGACAGAAAGCACATGAGGGACACAACTTTGAGTTTGGTGTCAGCATGTTGTTATGCTAATGATGCAATATTCTTTGAAGCATAAAAAGACAAATTTTTAGGTAAAATAGTGTATTTTTAATTATAAATATAGCTGTAGGTGGCAATTATCGGTGTCCAAGCACCAATAGCTTATGCAGACATTATGGGCCCTATCATACACTTGGTGCAGCGCCAGCCGCGACGCAAATGTTTTTTGCTAGTTTCAGCCCGACGCAGTTATCATTTTCACGCCCTGAATCACGTTGTTTAAATAGCAAATGCATATGCGCTCATCTGTTCGCCCATGCTGGTCTGAAAACGATGTGTGTTCGGGCGCATTGCTATTCTGAGGCAACTGAAATAGACTGCAAATTTTTATTTTTTTGTTATTTAAAGGGCGCATTAGTAATATGTGCCTATAGGCGGGAGCACAACGCACATACACTCTGCTTATTACACACACAGGGACGCACAGCAGCACACAAACATGCCAAATATTACAAATAAAAGGATTACTATGTAAAAGATTATTATTGTGTACATAAAGATATGGTGGAATCCTGCTTTTCGCGTAGAGGATCTACTTGCGCGCTTTATCCTCGCGCACGAGCAGATCCGTTTCCTCTCTGGAGTTGCTTTCAGTCTTTCTGCTTGCAAATTCCGCCATGTAAATAGCGAATCCACCATGGCGCGAGCGCAACTGGCTTTTAAAGGGAATGGGAGATGAGACTCTGATTGGTTTATTGCACGTTTCGCCCCAAAACACACCCATTACTCATTAAGAGAATAGAGACAACCCTTTTAGACCATTTTTCCCTTCATTAAACTAGCATAAGTGGATTCAGACACGCCATAAGTGGATCCATAAGTGGATTTTCTCGACACTCAAAGCGCTTTACATAGAAGGGGGGAATCTCCTCAACCACCACCAATGTGCATCCACCTGGATGATGCGACAGCATATTGCGCCCGAACGCCCACCACACACCAGCTTACTGGTGGAGAGGAGACCGAGTGATGAAGCCAATGAGTATATATATATATATGGGGATGATTTTGTGCCAGTTTCCCAAAAAGTGACGTGATTTTGTTCTCTTGAACACATAGGATGGAAACGCTGCTTGCTTTATTCGCAAATGTTTTATAAAATATTCCAATTTTGCGCATAAGTTAAATACGCAACTTTGGATGGAAACCTAGCTAGTCTTGAATCTCCACTGATGATCTATCCTTGGTTTTTCCTAAGCTGCCTTATCAAACCTAACACAGAAACACGCTGCAAACACTCACAACACAACCGAATACAGAAACGCTCTGCAAATACTCACAACGCAACCAAACACAGATACGCACTGCAAATACTCACCACACAACCAAATAGAGAAACGCGCAGATTGTCCTGGATTATGAGAACCCTGGTTCTTAAATAAAAACAGCAGTTGTTAAGGGAACAAATATGATTTCATTTTGCTTCCATCTTGATCTTTAGCGGTTTTAGCTTATTTTATTTTGTTTTAAATATTTTAAGTAATCTTGCGGCCCCCTGGTGGAGAATGACTGTTTAAACTCATGATTACATGAGCAGAGAAGCCATCCTCCATGGGGATCAGTTTCATCACAAATATCCATGGCTCCACTCAAGGTCTCTTATTGGCTATGTGTTGGTCTTCCTTTCTAACAGAAGCACATGCTGAAGGAAGGGAAAGGTCGAATGCTTCAGGCCATTAGCCCGAGGCAGAGTCCCAGCAGCAGTCCCACACGTGAGCGTTCCCCTTCTCCAACCTTCCGTCTGCCCTTCTTCACCAAGACCTCCCCGTCCTCCTCACCCTCCTCACATCACAGCAGCGCCCTGTCCGGCTACTCCTACGCCGCCCGCAAACAGGCCATCAGCGAAGACGAGGAGGACGACGAAGATTAGATTGCCACCACAGCACACCATGCATCTGTCTTCCAAGACTGGCTATCGAACCTCAGAAACGAAGCAATCCTTATACAATCCATCAGTTTCGCACACGGTATTATTAACAGATATGAAGGTTTAAAATGGAGCGAAGTGTAGAAAGTAGTGACTGTTGGGTCAGTTCAAACTTGTGAAGGTTTTAATTATCGCCGTCAGCGATGGGATGGGAGTATTCAGACTTCAGCGTCTCGTTTCGAATCACGAGGGATTGTTTTAGAATGAGTGCACATGGTATTAATGCGTTTCAGTTTTAATGATTTTAATGTTCGTATCATAATATATAAATGTTAGACATCTCATAGGTCACGTGTCTCTTGGAATGGACGAGATTGGCTTGTAACGTCAAAAAGACTGGAACTCTTTCCTCAAGGAACTGTAAGATAAATGCAATCATCTACACAAAAGTGCTTAAAAATAATACAAATTGTTATCTGTCCATATCGCAAGGCGCATAATCAGTGTTGTCACGGTTAATAGTCCTAAAAATGTGTTGAATAGCTAAAATACGCCAATATTACCAAGGCACCTCAAGCATGAATGACTGTTGGGAAAGTGAGGTAGTACCTGTACCATCAATGCATTAAGACGTTTGACATAATCGAATTGGTCTCCCTATGCTCAGCTCATCTACTTGAATTTGGTGTGTCATGCTAGGTCATGATTCCAAATTTAAACACTGTATTTAAAAAAATGCTTTACATTAAAAAAAGAGTTGTCAAACTGTTGAAAAGAAAGTGAAGCAAATCACTGTTTTTCTATCATTTAGTCACCGCACAATGCCGTTTATCTTTCACTGTGATTGTTTTCATGGAGCTCTTAAGAATCGTCCTAAAACTAAGGCTAAAGGGCTTGTTTTTCACGTTCAGTTTAGATGAGTTTTGGACTTGATAATTGCTTAAGTTCTGCAAGTGAAACCAACTGAGCTGTCGATAATGAATTACTAGTTAATAAATTAAACCACTTGAAAGGAATATTCTGGGTTAAATATAACCTGATCTCAACAGTTGCTGTCCGGTTTGATAGAAAATAATTTAAACGAAAGAGTTACACACAATGGAAGGCTATAAAGCAATCATTGGTTTAAGTGTGTAATTGTCCGTTTTTACAGAGTCCTACACGTGACGTGACAAAAAATATAAATAACGTGGCATGAATTAAGAATTCGTTCTCTCATTTTAGTAAATCATGGCGACATTGAAATAATTCCCTCGTTTTGATTTAACTAAACGAATTATTACAACATGCCATGATTTAGAGAATCATGGGAAAGAATTAGTAAAACGTGATATATTAAGTCGTTGGAACGAATTAATTCGTGGCCACGAATCACGATACACTTTTTTTTTTTTAACCAGTTGAGGGACAAAATGTTCTTTGGTCAATGACAGCATGACATCTTGCGATTAACTTGTATGTAACCCTTAACATTAACCTTGAATAGTTTTGTCAGCATTTTTTTTTATGTACATCTATGGATATGCAATTGTACGTTTTAGACAGTATGTTTAAATTGAGATTGTACCACTAGTGATTATATCTTTTTTTTTTTTGTCTCGTTTTTTCATGATTTGACAAGAGGCAGAGGCTCGTCAAACTGCTGTCCAGACTTGCACTGATTTCAGAATTCAATTATTTTTCTTCAAATAGTTGATGCTTCACTTTCATGGTCATGTCTGTTTTCAAGCCTCTGATTTTTCCTTTGCACAAATTAAATGAATCTAGGAGATAATTATTTTATTAACTTTGCCTTCCCTTATCCTGTCAGCTTTTGATTGTACAGGATGACAGCAGAGACAGGAAGACAAATAAATGGTGTCTAATGTAAAAGTGTTGTTTTTTTCTGCCATCTATTTTACACCCAAGATGTAACATATTTACTTGTGCAGACAGTGTTCCTCATTCATCATGATACAACTATGAAATAGATAGACATGTGCTTTATGCTGAATTGAAGATAAATGAAACCACAAATACACACAACACAATGTTTTTTTACTCCATTATATATTTATACCGAACTGAACAGTCACAGAGAGAGATAGATAAGATACTGAGAGTATGACCAATGGGAGAATAACCAACAAGGGACAGGGGTCCCGTAAGACCGACTACAGCGAATCAGGAAGCTGGGTTTTGAAAGACAGACATTAACTGCACAGGCTTTAAAGTACACCACTCACTGCTCTCCACTGGATCTGGTCATTACAGCACTCGTACAAACACATACAGGTAACTACGTTTCACATTTTGCATATTTTTGTGATTAGCCTTTTTTTTATTCATCCACAAATCTTGAGGAGAGGGAAGGAGGGAAACATAGTATATTTATAGGACAGTAAAAGCTGGTCCCTCTGCTAAGCAGCTCATTAGCAGCGCGTCTCGTAGATTCCGCTGCGTCCGATGTATCGCACCCATTTAATCACATCGTGGTCACTGTAGTTCAGTTTCGACTCGAACACCTTCAGGTAACGCACCTTCAAACCCGAGGGTGCAAACGGAACCTGAGACAAAACAACAGATGAAATACAACAGAAATGTGTGCCATGAAGAGGGTACAAGTTGTTGACAATTGAATAAATCAGACAAACTATAAAATAATATAAATATATGAATAAGTAGCTAGTTTTAACATCTAATGTTTGTACCTACCTCCCCCAAAAAAGTGACTGATATTGAAATATGAATGCATTCAACAGTTACTTATGAGCTTATTGAGGAAAAAAGACCAAATTAATATTTTAGGGAACACTTTACAATAGGTTCCATTTGCTAACAACACTAGTTAACATGAACTTATAATTCAAAACACTTTAAACCATGTATTCATTTTAGTTCATGTTAACCTCAACATTTCTTAACACATTAAAATCAAAAGTTGTATCTGTAAATATTATTTAATTGACCTGAGCTAGCATGAACTTGTTTTTACTAACAAAAATTCATAAACTGCAAATGTATTTATCGTTGTTAATGTTAGTTAATGCATTAACTAAACAGAACCTTATTGTAGTGTTGTCCATATTTTATTTTATTTATTAGAAATAAGTAGGTAAATAGATTTTTTTAAAATGAATGTTTATAGCTAAATAACAAAAACAAGGTTTTAAACCATATCCAAAATTTTAGTCAAGTTACTTAAGTTAACAATAAAAGCACAGCAAACCTCATAAAAATGTTCAAATGTCAATTAATTCAACCGTTACTTATTTATTATATGAGAAATAAGTTAATAAATAGATTGTTTTAGTTTAATCAATCAAAGTTTATATTTATAGCTAAATTAAAATCACACAAATAATGGTTTTAAACTGTATCCAAACATGTCCAAATGTTAGTTATATTAGTTAAAAAAGCACCACAAACCTGATAAAAATATTCAAAAATCCTTTCTGATTTTCATTCAACCCACAGGCTATTTTTATTTATTTATGAGACTTACAAGTTAGTAAATAGATTTTTTTAGTTGATAATCTTTTTAACAACATCTATATTTATTGCTAAATTAAGTCAGGATTTTAATTTGTGTCCAAACGTCCAAATGTTAGAAACTTTAAAGAGTTATTTTATAAAAAGCACAGCGAACCTCATATAAAATATAAAACAACACCAAAAAAAAAAAAAGTTAAGAACCTCTTTCCGAAAACCGATTGAAACTTCACTTAATTCAACGCTCACCTCAAAGTTCATGGAAATGGGTGGACGGGCCCACTTCTTCTTATCATTAGTGGGCAGCAGCTCAATCTCAGCACTGATCTGAGACTCCTTCATTCCTGCCATGCGTTTGATCCTGAGCAGAGAGACAGACAGGATGACATGAGTTCACACACACAAGCACTGAATGCAGAGAAACGTGAAGACGCTGACTTACTTCCACACAATGGCGTTCTCGCTGGCCTTGTATTTGGCTTTTCCTTTCATACAGATCACCTGCACTCCACTAGTGTTCAGAGGTGTTGGAATGCGCACCTGTTCAAAACATTCACCACACACATCATCTGACCAACTCTTTTACACACAGACTGAAATGTTCTGTCTTAAGCGTGTGAAAATGCAATGTCAAGTCTCTATATTTTCTTTGAACTCACCTCTATTTTCTGTGCCAGGAGTGAGGGCTTGAAATTAGATTTGATGACAACTTTGACCTCCAGCTTTGTGCGTCCAACCTCTCGGACCAGTGGAATGACCCGGAAGGGCAGAATAATGTCCTTAGTGGTGCGATACCTTCACACACAGATCGAGGATGTGTTAAAACAGAATCGGACTCTGCGGTGTGAAGGCAGACTGAAGCTGAACTAACCTCATGAGCTCATATTCCCCATCAGGAGGGATGAAGCTGATGCTGCGCTCAGAGTCGAACTTGCTGAGACGCACACACTGATGGAAAGTGCAGTCGTCGATGGCTATGGACTGCTTCCCACTGCTGGAGAAACCAAGACGGTAAGAGTTTGATATAAAACACCATTAAGATATTTGGTAAAAGGAGCAAATACTAGAGCAGGGGCGTCCGATCCTGCTCCTGGAGGGCCACTGTCCTGCAGAGTTTAGCTCCAACACTCCTGCCTGGAAGTGTCCAGTATGCCAAGGAAGCCCTCGGCTGTGTTCAAAATCACACTCATTCACTATACACTTGTCCACTTGAAGGAGTGAATGAAAACGAGTGAGTGAATTCGGACACAGTGCGCCGGAAGGGCGGCCGCTTTTGTAGTTTTTGCTTGCTGTTTGATAATCATTTGAAACTTAGCAAACTAATGAAAAGATTTTTCTTGAACTCTGTCAAGGAAATTAGCATGTATAAACCTTATTTAATAATCATTTTATACCTGTATGATATTATGCTGTAGCAGGGTTTGGAAAATATATCAAATAGATTCAGCTGCAGGCGCCATCTTCTGGCAAGACACGGGAATTCATTCAGCATGACCCTCACAGTGCATTATGGGTATTATTTAGCCATTGAACATACATCGGTTGTACCCTCATTATTGAGGTGCATTGTGGGATTGAATGAGTGCACTCGATAACATCCACTATGGTTTCAGCACCAATGCAAATGGCTGCCCCCTCAAACAGTGCCCTATTTAAGGATTTCGGGGGTGATTTCAGACACAGCCCTGGATTAGCTGGTTACGGTGTGTTTAATTGGGGTTGGAGGTAAACTTTGCTGGACAGTGGCCCTCCTGGAGTGAGTAGACACTGCTCTACTAGAAAAAAACTGTACATAAAATGAAATTATCACTGACAAAATATAATAAAAAAAATCACTTACTGCTAAAATGTCCTACTTCTAAAAACTAGGGATGCACTAAAAGTTGTATTCATAATTTTAATTATGGCCATTAACCA